TAGTGAGTGCCAGGCCAGCTGGGGCTACAGGGAGACCCTGTCTCAAAAGGATGAAAAAACAAAAACAAAACTTACCGAAGTTGGGTCTCACCAACTTGCCCAGGCCGGTCTTTTGCGCCCGTCTCTGGGTTGAGGACCTTTGCTACCCACTTCCCAAGTGAGGTCCCAACTGTTGACCCGCTGGACATAGGCTGTGGGTCTGATGCAATCCTGGTCCCTTCACACCTTTTGTCCCTGCACCCCAGATTACAATTGCCCAAGTTATGGCAGTATCTGCTCTGGGCGGAACACGAAAAAGCCTCACACGACTGGCAGTTTGGAGGCTGGTTTTAATACAAACACAACTGATAGGTTGGCCCAGCATGCTGCTATGGGTGGCCTCTGCCTAGCAGAAAAGTCTGGACAGGGATGGATGAGGGGGAGGAAGGGAAGGAGGGAGGGAGATGATGTTACACAGGCCTGAGGGCTGCCCATCACACAAGACACAAGCATGGATTCATGGGCACTGTGCAGGATGAGACAGGTGGGTTTAGCAAGAGCCTTTGGCAGCTTTGGACAGCTTCACCTTCTACCTGTGCTCAGGACACTGGAGTAGGAGCTAAGAACCCCAGGTGGAGGGGTTCCTCTGGAGCCTCAAGACTCCATGGAATCCCAAAACATCTCACTTCTCATGTAGCCCAGGCTGGTCTCCAGCTCTCTGTATAACTGAGGATGACCTTGAACTTCTGATCCTCCTGCCTCCGTTACAGTTGTGAATAGGTACATTTACCATGCCCACTTTTATTTTCTGTATCTGAAAGTTGGGTTAGTAAATCGTGTTTCACAGAGCTGCCTTGGGTGGAAAGGACACAGAAAGAGACATTTATCAAAGTACTCAACAGAACTGCACATAGAGGTATTCAATAAATACTTTTTTTCTCTTCTTTCTTTTTTGTGGTGTTGGGGCTTGAACTTGGGGCCTTCTGCATGCTAGTCAAGCATGCTCTACCATTGAGCCACATCCCCAACCTTTTCATTATTTTTGAGATAGTTTCTTGCTGTATAGTCTAGGCAGGCCTTGAACTTTCGATCCACCTGCCTCAGCCTTCCAAATACTGGGGATGACAGGCCTGAGCCACCATACCTGGCTTCAATAAATAATTCTTGTCAAGAAAATCCTCGCTCAGATAGGACTTTTCTTAGAAGCCAAAGATGTGAGAGGACTTCCTTGGACACTGGCTTAGGGTATGGTGACTCTGGAGGACTCCTTGGGGCCTGCAGTCCCTGGGGTGCCCAGGGTCCCAGAATACACCGTGTCAGGACTGCTAACGAGGGAAGGAGGTTGCACCCCCTGGGAAGTCCCTGCAGAAGCTGGGTACACACTGGAGGCGCTGGGGTTTGGACCGAAGTGGTTTTGCACATAACACAGACCTGAGGCAGGGTGGTATGGAGGCAGGCTGGGCATGTGCCCAGGAGCACAGGCTGACCAGGCCACCAGTTTCTGGCTGCTGGCATGTTGTATCTCAGTGACAGGGTAGCTTGGGGGCAGGTGAGGGTGGCAGCTCTGTGTGGGGTAGGAGCCAGGCACAGGGTTCAGCCTGTAAAGGAGAGAGAAGATGGTCATTCTGCTGCTGGGGACAAAGTACACCATGTCATTTCCTAAGAAAAGTGTGTGGGTGGGCCGCCAGGCTGCTCAGTTCAGTGCCAAGGGGTAAGAAATGTTCTTTTTTAAAAAATCTTTTGGACAACGTTTCATGTAGCTCAGGCTAACCTTGACTTCTCTATGCAGCTAAGAATGACCTTGATCCACCTCCTCAATGTTGGGATTATAGGCATGTACCACCATGTGCTCTGGCTAAAATCCAGGGATTCATGCATGTGAGGGACATACATACACACAAATAATCTCAAATAAATAAATAAATTTCCTGTTGGGGCTGGGGTTGGGTTTGGTGGTGGAGCACTTGCACAGCATATGCTGAACCCTACACATCCACTCCAGTGATATAGGAAAACATGTTCCCCAGCTTACTAGTGCAGCTCCCCCTTCCGGGAGTGCCTTTCTCTTTCTTCTCTTTTTAAACAATTTTACATTTATTTGTGTGTGTGCACAAGTGCACATGTGGGGAGGTCAGAGGACAACCTGAAGGAGTCGGTTCTCTCCTTCCACCATGTGGGTCCTGGGGATGTAGGTCCTCAGGCTCAGTGGCAAGTGTCTTTAACCACTGAGACATCTTGCTGGCCTGCCTTTCTCTTTCTTAATAAGCATTCTCTATTTTAGTTCTAAGAACAACAAACAAACCAATTTCCAAGCTAAACAAATTTTCTCAACAAGGGCAATCATGGAGACAAAACAATTTATATGGTCAGCTTACTAAAATAAACACACATGTCCCATGGTAACGTCCTTGGTGGCCATTGTGGGCACACCTGAAACATCATGTTCTGTTCTGGTATCTGCAGCCAGCTTTGGCAATAAGGGATCAGATTCCAGTCACGTGAGCCACAAAGAAGGAGCTCCAAAGGGCTACCTCTCCCCCTTCCTCATCTGCTTGTTCAGGGTCCCACCTGGCACCAGGGTGATACTTCAAGGAGCACAAGTATAACTCAGGGTTGAAGAACTCCTCCTCTAGGTCCTGAGGGCACCTCTAATTCACCAAGGGGTTGGGAAATGACTCAGTTGGGTCTGGTGACCCCCTTCCATGCTGTCACATGGGGATTCCTTGAGGAGCGGGAATCTGCACATCTGAGGCCTATCAAGTTGCTAAGAATCCTACAGTCTGAGCAAATGCTCTACCACTGAGCCACACCTCAGCCCCTCACTAGGGGATTCTAGGCAGGTGTTCTACCACTGAGACATACCCCAGCTCCTCCCTGGGG